CCCGCCTCGCTGGCCTTCTCCTCCGTCTCGACCTGCGCGCGCGCGCGTCTCGCGGCGGCGCGCGCGCGGCGGGCCCGGACGCGGCGCGGCCGACGATCGCCTCGAAGACGGCGGCGCGCAATTGCGCGCGGATCGTCGCCAGGAGCCCCTTCTCCTCGAGCTGCTCCTCGACGGCGTGGAAGAGCTCCTCCTCCTGCGCCCCCATGGACGCGGCCTGCGCCGCCGACGATGGCGCCATCCCGCTCCGCGCGCACGGCCTTGCGCTCGGCCTCGGGCAGCCGAATTAAAATCGCGCGATGGCAGCCCTCGATGAAGCGTAACATTAACCTGTTGAGCAGCCCGACACGATGTGACATCATGCGGCTCTGGTTGGTGGCATCCCTCGGCCTCGCCGCCGCCGCGCATCCCCGCGGCCTCCTCATTTTTAAGACGTCGCGCACGGGCTCGACGTGGCTCACGGCGACGCTGAATCGCCTGCCGGGCGTCGCCATCGCCGAGGTGCCCATCAAACCCAACTTGGTGAGACAAAATTGGACGGCCGCCGAGGTCGAGCTCGTCGTCGAGCGCTTCGCGGTCCTCGCGCTCGCGCGGCCCGTGCACAAGCTCGACTGCGCCAACACGCAGCGCGTGCGCAAGCTCGCCATCGCCGTCCTCGCGGGCGACGACCGGCGGCGGCGCGCGCTCGACGACGCGTTGCGCGGCGCCTGCGCCGCCGACGGCGACGGCACGGAGCTCGTCGTCGGCTTCACGCACAGCCCCGTCGATCCCGACGGCGCGCACAGCCTCGTCGAGCCGGACTGGGCGCGAGTGGGCGCGGGCGTCGCCGCGCGCGTCGTCGTCTTCGAGCGCGGCAACGTCGCGAAGCGGGTCGTGTCCAAGCTCGCCAAGGCGGCGACGGCGGCGCGGAGCGGGGGCCGCAAGAGCAAGTGCATCACGAACGGCCAGCTCAACGCGACCGCGCCGGGCTGCAGGGTCGACGGGCTCGTCGCCTCCCGCGCGGACGCCTCGAAGGGCCGCGCCGAGCATCGGACGCGCGCGCAGGTCGTCTCCAAGCGCGACTTCGCGGACCACGCCTGCGGCACGGCGCTCGCCTACGCGCGGCTCCGGCGGTCGGCGAACGCGACGGGCTGGCCCGCGCTCCGCGTCGAGTACGAGGATCTCCAGGCGGACCCCGCGGGCGTCGCGGCGCGCATCCTGGCGTTCGTTTTGCGTCCGCGTCCGGCGACGTGTTCCGCGCGCGCGATTTGGTCCTTCCTAGGCTGGCGCGGACTGCGGCGCCGCGTGCCGCGACGCGCTCGCGGGCATCCGGCGGGACGCGACGGTCACGGGCCGCCGCGGCGAGCGGCTCGTCAAGACGGGCGCGGAGGACCTGCGGACGCTCGTCGCGAACTACGCGGACCTCGCCGCGTCCATCGCGGACCCGTGCCTCTCGGCCATGCTCGGCTCGCCGGACGTCGCCGGCCGCTGGCCCTGCTTCGACGCCATGCTCGGCCGCTGCCCGCCGAAGACCCCGCCTTAGGCGCGCCTACGCCTTGGGGACGACGTTGTCCATGGGCTTGTCCTTCGTGTACTCCATGTAGGGGTTCATGATGTCCTGGACGAGCTCCTCGCGGAGCTCGTCGAACTCGATCTCGCCCGTCTCGTCGAGGTCGTACTTGGCGAAGCTGCGGGGGGCGAGCGGTTTCCGACACGGTTTCGGCCATAAGTCCGACGGGGGGGGCGTCTCTCGTCGATGCTCGAAACTGCCGCGCGGCCGGCGCGCGCGTCGTCGACGATCTTGCGGAAGACGTCGTCGGAGCCGCTCTCCGGTTCCGGCAGCGACATCTTCGACGTCTGCAGGAGCCGCACGAAGAAGCGCACGAGCTCGAGCTTGTCCATGCCGTTCGACCTGCGAGACGCGACGCTCGGCGGGGGGCGGGGACCCCAACGCGGGACGCCGAGGAGGCGCACAAATCCTCGTCCATCTGCATCCAGTAGGTCCCGATGGAGAAGTCCCAGCCCTCCTGCGCGGGCTCGTAGGGCGACTGCCGCGCCGCACCGAAGGCGCACAGCAGGCCGAGGAGCGCACCGACGCGCCGCGCCATCGCAACAAGAAAAGGCAGGACCTCACGAACCACGCGGAGCTGCCCCGGGCGGCGGTTGGCCAGGTTAATGTTGATGTCATCTCCGGAGTGGCGGCCGCGCGACGATTCGAATCCGCCGCTCGAGTTCGCTGTGCACTGCCCCGGCACACACGCATACATAAGGCTCGCGGCAGCGCGTTCGACGCTGCGCACGCACGTCGCGCCCCGCTCCCGACGTCGGCCGAGCATTTGCAGTTCCCGCGCTCCCATTCAAAAAAGCTCGCGCAGCGCGTCCGAGGCGCGCCGCCGCCAGCGCACCGCGCCATGGACAGCGACGACGACTTCGGCGGCCCCAACAGCGACGACGGCGAGAACTTCGAGGACGAGGGCTTCGGCGGCTTCGACGACGAGGACCAGCCCGCGGCGACGCAGCACTACGACCTGCC